GAATAAATGAATGAAATATTTATACTTTTTTGATACTTTTGATATAAATTTAATAAAGATTTATTATGTAAAAATATGATACAAACTGTTGATGAAAATTTTTTTACGTTTTGTAATAATGCTCCATGAATATTCGATCAATAATTATGAACGTGTATATATACATTTGAGAACAAACGAAACAACATTTTCTAAGTTTCCAAGATGTGTTAAAATATTGTATCTTAAAATAGCTCAAGTGCTACTTTTTCGAAAAATTTTCGAAAAATTTTAATTTGACTTTTATAATTATCAATAACAATCAGTCCAATGTGATATTTTAGAGTGTCATTTCAATAACCATTTTCTCACTAATACACAACATCGATTTGCTTAGTAAAAAAACGAGTATTTGTAATACCCGTTTATTCGATTATTTTGGCGGATCATCAAGTGTGTCGATACTTTTTGTAGGGGTGTATTATCGAATAAAATTCTCCTGTTACACTATATATAACTTTATCGATGGATTAATGTCAAAATACTTCTTTTTAAAAGAGCATAACTACTATGTTGTTGGATAACTTAAATAATTGATGAACATGCGGTTACTATGTTGTAGTATTTGTTACATTCAAAAATTGACTGTAAAAAATTTTATCTTGGGAAAAAATTTATTATTAAATTTCTTTTTGGGAAGATTTTCTTGGATAATAACAATGGTAAGATTAATAATAGAGTGGGGTAATATTATATAACATTGAATTGATATGAAATTGTCTTTTTTATGTCCATTGGAAGTTAGTTTTATGAAAAAACTGGTTTTGCAAGTATCAAACCTGTAAATATTTGTGAAATTCAAACTTCACATTTTTATGAATTTTTTCCCAATTATTACAATGATCTAATGAAAAATTAAAAAAATATATTATTATATAATAAAATTAATAAAATCTATTCTTTTCAATTATTTTAAAAAGCAAGATTATTATTGAAAAAATAAGATGTTATATAATCAAAGAGGGAAAGAAAAAGGAAATTCGTTAATTCATCTTCTGCAGTTATTATTCATAATATTTTTATTGTTATCATGTGAAGTGGAATCTCGACTTAGAGATGGTAGTGATAATAATATAGATAATCCAACTCCTGGTACTCCAAAACAAAATTTTCAAATGGAATATCCACCTGAACCTTTTTTTGGGTAATTGTATCATTTTAGTTATCAAATCATTTATTAAATAAATAATTAATGATTTGATAATTTTTCTTCATAAATAATATTAGTCCAGATGGAGATTCAATGATAAAAACTCCTTCTGATA